AGGAGATGCCCTCCACCACAAACCTAACGACTGGACCTGCAAAGGAAAAAAAATGCATCAACACAATGCTGCCAGCAAATGAGATGAAGCCGCGGTGGCAAAGCATCCACCGAGAAGCAACGAGACTACGGCGGCCAAGTATATGACCGAGCAACATGGTGGCAAAGTATCCATGGGAGAGTGAACATGACAAAGTATCCGCAATATAGAGGTGGGAGGCCATCACACCCTCAACAGCCGGCATGAGAGGGGCGCCCGAAGCGACGTCGGTGGCAAAGTATCCGCCCGAGCGGCAACGACGGCAAAGCATCCGTCAAAGAAGAGTGATAGCGGCAAAGTATCCGCTGCAAAGAACCAATCGATTGTGGCAATACCAAGTAGGCTGGATAGACTATTGCGAAGACAAGCTTGAAGCACACATAGGCACAACACTGGAAGGAGCAACTCCTACGAGAGAAGTGGAAGATGGGCTGCAGTAGTACTCCAATGATGCCTTCAGGAAGAACCTTGACATCCGCAGACGCCAACAACGCTAGTAGAAGCACACGATTAGGTCTTTCGACCCAGCTGCCTCGACGAACAGGAACTACGACGATGCCTACAAGAAGGTAGATGACGCATATTCTCAACAACTTACGATTTGAAACGGCGAAAGTAGAAACGAATACCAATACTGTTACATCAAATTAGTATCGCTAGATACCACCGTAAAATATATTTTCATAAGCTACTTATTTGGTGCCATAAATATTAGTATTCTCCACTTATATAAAGCTGGCCAAATTCAAGATAATTTGATTTAAGATAATCCTAGGAGTTGCATGCATGCTGCCCGACCGGTTCCTCCATTGATATGATCATCCCTCCTGGCCTTTGCATGCATGCATGCGCATTCTTTACCAATCCAGAACGAACGCACCATGCCATGCATTTTGCTAATAGCTAGCTAGCTTCACATGCATGCAATGCGCATGCTTGCCAGCAAAGGGATTGTTTGCAAGTTCGAAGTGCTGGTAGTTCGATCAATTCGTTGCTTGTTTGGTGTGCATGGTTACCTCAACTCCTCCCCTCAAGTACCGTACTACATGTATGGTCCATGCATAGTAGTGACGACAACAATATATATGACCACACAACACACAGTCAGTGTAGTCGTAGTCGTCACTTAGTTTCATACTGGGGAGTGTGCAGTGACAAATACGTACCACTGGTAGAGAACAGAGCTTTACTCTTGGTGGGGAACCCCCTCTAGTCCCGGTTCCCCACCCAGGAGTAAGCATCCGGGACTAAAGGGGGTCCTTTAGTCCCGGGTCAAGAACCAGGACTAAAGGGGGACCTTTAGTCCCGGTGAGTAACACCAACCGGGACTAAAGGTCCTCCCAGCTTTAAAAAAATAATGTCTCCCACCGCTGCGTCCCGTGAGATTCGGGACCCAAGACCCCATGCATTGTCTCGCGCGTAGCTTACCACCCCACCTACACAACACATCTAACAATGGATGGGATGCTTCCCTTTTAAACTAACTCATCGAGGGACCTTTAGTCCCGGTTGGTAACATCAACCGGAACTAAAAATAGACCTTTTAGTTCCGGTTGGTGGTCTACTTTTAGTCCCGGTTGATGTTACCAACCGGGACTAAAGGTTGAGGACTTTTAGTCCCGGTTGGTGGCTCCAACCGGGAGTAAAGGTCCACCTTTAGTCCCTGTTGGTGTCTCCAACCGGGACTAAAGGTCTTCTTCGCCAATTCGTTGCTTGTTTGCAGTGCAGGTTACCTCAACCTCCCTCAAGTACCTTTAGTCCCATTGGAGACACCAACTAGGACTAAAGGTCTCTCTAGTCCCGGGCGCAAAAAATACCGGGACTAGAGCCTATTTTAGCATCGGATGAAAGATACGTCCTCTACTAGTGTACTGTATGTGCCTAATAAGCAAGCCCGATCATATCGTCGATCGCCAGGGCCAAGCTAGAGATGTCGTACGTAGCAAATAAAGGGCTGGAGAGCATGCCACAAACAGACAGGATCACAGGAACGTGATCTGTACGTGATCGGTTGTACCAATAGTCCTAGACAAGAGGCGTTTGATACCATGCATATATAGGCTCTTGAAGTGGCTAGGCGGCCGGGGTTCCCTGTTGGAGAAGGAAACAGCAAGTGACTGACCAATACCCATCAAATGCCCCCATGCTATAATTCAGACCACACTACAATACGTAGGGACTATACTTAGCACATACTAGATCATAGTATGGAACTACTTGTGTGGCCCTTACTACCCTTTTTATTTTCCTTGCTATATATGTGGGGGAATACGTACTAAAAATGCAACATGGATCTCTAAATTTTCCCAGCATCGCCATCTAGATCCACGAACTCTTAAAGTAATCATCTAGGTCCTCCAGCTTTTTAAATTGTTCATTCTAAGCGTGAATTCAGGTCCATTTGGTTAGACCAAGAGTGAACCTAGAATGAACAGTTTGAAAAGTTAAAGGACCCAGATGATCATTTTAATAAGAGCTCATAGACCCATATGAGAATGTGGAAAAGTGTTTAAGGACCTACAATGCATTTCACTCAATTAGTTTAAGTACCATCATCTTAAGTACCAAATGGTACTGTTCTTTCAAGTAATCCTCCTTTATTTTTCATGTCGATTTGATGGTTAGGATCACGGATTCCACGTTCTATATATCAGCAGGGCTGATTTACAATATATAACGATGCCATTTATCCAACATAAACTATATCTAGCTTAATTTTGTTTAATTTATAGCTAGTTACAGTGCGAGTTAATTAGCACCAATCACTAGTCAACAATAGCCATGCTACATGTAAAGCTAGCTACTAAGTCAAATGCAAAGATTTGACTTAAACTCCAAATGATGTTGTTACCACTTACTGCCTGCCTAGCTAGAGTACCGGCCTTTTATATATCTCTAAATATCTCCAAATGATGATGATGTTGTTACCACTTACTCCCTATAGCTATAGCTAGCTAGAGTGTCTTTTATCTCTCTAAATATCAGCACGACTATTTCGTTCTCTCTCTAGCTACTTGCTGTAAGTCACATCAACAATTTGGATACTTTCAATTGGACTAGAGACAAATATACACCGGATCTTAAGATGCACGCACCGTAACCAACGCTTTCTGCTCCTCAGAAAATGGTCAGAGATAGGGGCGGATCACAGACAACAACATGTACTACTGCCACACAATGCAAGTCACTCACAGATAGACTCATATCTGCATGCAAATGCAAGACAATTACTCCGTATTAATTTTAAGTTCCTTACTTATCCGGCTGTTATTTTATAACAAAACTAGCTATTATTTATTTATATTATAACATTCACTGAGCAAGTGAGCATGCATGCATTCCTTTCGCTGTTGGGAGGTAGGATCAAATCATGAAAAACTTCTGCCATGCTCTGGTCCCTGACAGTAGTTACATGTAGTTGTGTCATACAGGCTTTTTTGCTCGCTAGTAGAATATCTCGATGTCGAAACCTGTGCTCCTGCTCTATATGCCAATCTCACGCTCTCTTTATGGAAGTGATTCATCATCAGTTGATAACACATAGTTAATAAAGTGTTTATCCGATCCTACTGTCCAAGTGAAACAGTTCAAGCAGTACAAGTTACTCCAAGCAATGGATATGCACACATGTGTGAGTATGCATGTGACATGTGAAGAAGCTAGGAAACCAAAATTGCCATTGCAAGCCACAGCAACCAGCTAAGCTAGTGTGGGCAGAAAGCACGTCACAGCAGTGCCCGCTTGTTCAAAGCTGATCAGTTACACCCTCTTTTGTCCCCACCAAGTGTCATCCTGGCTTTTGCTTTTGCCTCCGAGAGAGAGGCAAGACGACGACGACGACCATATGCATGAGAGGGCATGGAGCACAGCACAGTTCCATAGCCTGACATGGAGATCTCCTCCATCTCCAAAAGCAATGCAACAATGCGATGCAATGCAGGGTTTGAAAGAGGAAACCAACAAGAAACAAAAGCTCATCACCTTCAATTCCCCCCTTCCCCCAGACATGCTCACAGTGGCAGCATAGGAGTACACACAAGTCCTCCACATCATCCATCTCTCGCTCCTAGCATTAGCATGCAAGTCTCCATGACTCCATATATGCATGCATGCATGCCTCACTGTGCTCTGCGCCCACACAAGCAATCATTGGCTGTTCCTGGCTCCTCCCATCTTCCCCATTCAGACATGCATTTCCCAGATCATCCACCCCAAGTTCCAGTCACTCACAAGTCACAAGCTAGCTAGTCACGAGAGTAGTACTATATACTATTACAAGGCACGAAGCTATCTGAGTTTGTATGCATTTGGTACAAACAACATCTAGAATGATGAGCAGTTCTTGTCATTCTTATCATCTTATTGGATAGATAGATGCTACTTATACAACCTGATCCAGAATGCAAAAATGGACATGTGCACATGTTGCTTCTTGTTGATGAATTGAACTTATTGCTTGTCAGCGATAGAAAAGAAAAACTTGACATCTTATTAGAATTCCAATATTAACTAGGAGTAATTGGGTAATAGTTTCTGTGGCTTATAAGCCGGCTGATGATGTTTTGTTGTGAGAGGAAAACACTGTATCATGGCTGATAAGCATAGCTGATACGATCAAGCGAACAGCGTGTTTGTTATTCTAGCTCAAAGGTAGGTTTGCAGTGGCTTTGGAACAACATTTGGTTCAAGCTCAAGCAAACCCTAATAGCAATACCATGCTAGGAATATAGTTTTTTCCTTAATGGCATGGCGTCTCAAGAAGAAGAGCCATGCATGAGGATTGGAGATCGAAGACATATATGCATTTATTAGCAACGCATTATATTAGCACACAAAACTAAACATGGAGATGGAGGCAGTACCATATGTATATTTGGCACGAGCATGCAATTAGGTGTTTGATCGAGCTACGACTGCGCGAGACGTACGATCAGCCCGCCGCCGCCGGCGTGCAGTGCTAGCTATGCTGCCGCTTGCATGTTCATGCCCGAGACCCGTCGCCTCTTGGGCCGGTCTCCGGCGGCGCCCGGCCTCTCTACCAGAGCCCTCAGGGCTTCCTTGAGGAAGTCACCGCCACCGCCGCCGTTGGCCCCGTCGACCGTGGCGCCGCCCGCCGAGTCCGAGCGGCCGCCGTAGCCGTCATCACCTCCGGCGACGACACCGCCGTCGACGACGTCGCGCGCCAGAACGAGCACGTTGCGGACGCGGCCGCCGAGTGTGGCCATCTCGGCGCGGAGCGTGCGGAGGCGGAGCTCGCGCAGCGTCTCGATGAGGTCCGGGAGGAGGTCGGAGCGGTCGTCGCAGCAGACGGAGGCCTCGAAGACAGCGCCGCTGCCGGACGCGAGCACCACTATCTCGTCGTGCTCCGTCGGGAACAGGTGCGCCGGCGCTGCCTCCTCGACGCCCGCCGCCCGCTGCTTCAGGTCCCGCACCCTCTCCACCGCCTTCGCCAGCAGCGACGCCTTGTCAATCTGCACGCACGCAGCCAGCCAAACAGACAGCATCAGAAAAACCAACCCTTTTTGTTTGCTTTTGCCACAATTAAGCACAAACCCTAGAATTGCGGGGTTAGCGGCCATGGATCACCGGATATATATAATCGTATGCAAGCAGAAGCAGGTTGTGTCGTACGTGTCGTGTGCAAGCAGTGTAATAGGAAGACTATGCTTGGTAATAAATTAATTGAAAACAAGAAGCATGCTCCAATCAAAATCATGAGAGGAACTGTCAAGCAAAAGAGAGAAGAGCCCTAGCCTAGCCTAGCTAGGCTCGTGTGATAGGAATAGGAATAGGAAAGCCTCCATTCTACTTTCCCAAACCCATCAGCTTTAATCACACCATTTGCTGCTCATGTACGTGTACTGGCTGCGGCTATATCCTGCAGTAGCTACTGCAAGCTAGATGCCAATTCGATCGATTCTGCAGACAAGTTAAAGATATATAATATACATATAGTGAAGATCGGATTTTTTTTTTCAATTTCAGTTAATAAGCAACTGCAGATTGGAGGAGGTAGAGCGTCTATATGCCTTGGGGTCGCAGGCGAGGACGTTGCGGAGGCGGTCGAGGTGCGACTTGATGCGCTCGCGCCGGCGCTTCTCGGCCTCGCGGTGGTTGCGCGACGTGGCGAGCGCGCGGTCGTGGGCGGCCGCGGCCGCCGCCGCCGCCGCCGCCGCTGCCTCGTCCTCCTCGGAGCCAGCGGCCGGCCAGATGGAGCCCATGAAGAAGGGCGGCAGCATCGGGAGGACGCCGCCGCCGGCCTCGCCTGCAGCCTGATGCCCCGCGCCGGCTCCGCTCGCCGCCGCGAGCGCCGACACCTCGGCCGGGAACATGTGCGGGGGCTAGGTAGATGATCCGATCCCCTTGTCGCCTTTGCGCGTGCACGAGCAGCTGGGACGGTAGCTCCTCGAGTGAGTGTCAGGAAGAGGCGCACGAACTACTGACCCGGCCGCCCTCCCGGCCGGCGAAGCTAGCACTGAGCTGAGAAGCTGGTAGCTACTGCGCGGCGGTAGTGGTGGTGGTGGTGCGAATTGTTGCGATGTGTTATTCCTAGGACTTGGTTGGACTGCGAGAGAGAGAGAAGCCGAAGCGGATTTGATGGATGGGGAGAGAGAGAGACAGACAGTGAGGAGAGTTGGGATGGATGGATGGCCGAGGACCGAGGAGAAGGAATAAATAAACAAGCAAAGGCGAAGAGAGAGAAAGTGAGTGCTCCGTCCATCCAGAGGAGAGAGAGAGCGAGAGAGCCTCGGCCTCCTCTCCTATCGCATTTGTTGGTAGGCGAGTGGTGGCCCGCGCGGACGTGTTGACCCGTCACGCGGGAGCCGAAGAGAGAGAGAGAGAGAGAGAGAGAGAGAGAGAGGGGGACGGAGACGACGAGTCCTGTCCTGCGAGCCAGGGATGCTCGGCGCAGCCGTCCGTGGCAGCGGCGGACGGCCGGGATGGTGGTGCCGACCTGGTGCCGGGTCGCCGTCGGCGGAGATGCGGTGGTGGCGGTGCTGGACGGATCGGGATTGCTTTCCTGTTGACTCCAATTGCAACTTCGGGATTCATTCACTGTCTGTCCTCTGCGTGCGTGTGCCTTGGGTTGCACTTCACCTAATTTGGCATAACGGAGCAAGGCAGAAAAGATGCAGTAAAAAGAAATTTATTCGTATGGGACATTATTGAGAACTGTTGTAGTGATGATAGACAGATTAGTAGATTTACTAATTTAGGGAAATGTGACTGTGAGAGAGTTGACAGCGGTGTGGTTGAGTGTTCACCTCTTGTTTACGCGACACGTGGCTCAGATCCATGGAGCCCTATTAATCAAACACTTTTGGGGACATCACATGCCTTTTGATGGGTAACTATTGCATGATGTAAACAAGGCTCATGCTGATGGCACGTGTGTTCCTTTCATCAGTAGAGAAGCTAGCTCTACTCCCGGTTCCAATCCCTTAATTTAGTTCCGTACAGGTCTTGATTTTTAGTTCCGGTTCTACCATCGGGACTAGAGGTGTTTCTTGCGTGAGAAAAAAAAGATGCGGTTGTGGAGATTTGAACCCAAAATCTTTCATTTTAGCTCTTGCGAACGTTACCATCTCACCTCCCACCACACATCTAACTTAGATAAGATACGCTTTCCTTTTAAATTCACTCTGAGACACCTTTAGTCTAGGTTCATGGGACTAAAGCTTTTCGCACCGACACACCTTTGACACGCCTCGGTAAACGTTACAACTGGGACTAAAGGGTGGAATTAGTCCCGGTTTGATTACAAACCGAGACTAAAGGTCCAGTCCTCCCTTTAGTCACGGTTGCAATTTTGAAACCGGGACTAAATACTTTTTTGCCATGAATGAAAGGTTGTTTCTCTACTGGTGTTTTTTTTCATTTTTTATATATTTCCGCAGAGCAAGCCAAGCCTGAAAATGTTATAAAGAAAAAAAAAATCTGCAAAAGATGACATATTTTCCTGGAGGCTGACAAAGATCTGAATGGCCATAGAGTTGGGCAACTAAATGGAACCGCGACCAAAGAATTGGGAACCAAAACATTGTATTATTTTATTCCATATACAACGTTGTGCAAAAGAGCAGAAACAGCACATTCCCTCGAAACAGGTGGTACAGTGCGAAAACAAAACAAAAAAGAGAGAGAAAAGGACAGAACATCACAGATCTCTGAACAAAATGCAGAGATGGAACAGTAAGGGAAAATTAAGGGTGAAAGCTGCTGCCGTATGGTAGTGATTAAGTTAGTATCATGCCGTGGGGTGTGAGTAATGATTGTAGAAGACACAAGTGCTCTACTTGGTAGCCTGTGCAATTATGTTCCTCAATGAACCTGCCTCCTCCTTTGCGGCTTCCACCAAAGCGTCCTGCAAAAACACACACGCTTATTCCACCATGCCATGATAGACCATCACCCCAATCCTTAGTGCATTTCACATGAGCACATGAACATGCATGCTGGCAGCTTATCCTTTCCATTGTACTGACAAGCTAGAAATTGGCACAGTCCAACCGGTATATTAAGGACTATAATACAGTTCGCCTTTTTGTTAAAAGTTTGTCTCTTGTGCATCTCCACATGGTTATGTCAACAAAGGAAAGGCAGAGAGCACTCATGTGCAGTTAGAAATGCTCATAGTTTTATACTACTCAGATCGCTTCTGAATTCAATAGATATAAGCTACCTGTGTAGTTACTAGACGTAGCACCGATTTCTTGTTTGATTCCTGAAGTTCACCAGCAATCAAAATCTCGTCCAATATAAAGTATGCCTGCAAATCCAGAAAAGGATAAAAAAGAGTGAGGGGAGGTCGAATTGTTCGGTTGGCTTGTGCTTGTCGTAAACGATCGTAAATTTCCAGCCGGAACAGTATTTTTCTCTCACACCAAACCCGCCAGCAGTACTTCTTCACGAACCAGCAACGAACAAGCCCAGCCAAACGAACAGGCTTATAATGGTCGGCAGAAACAGATACGCCTAATAATAAACATATATATCAAAGTTTTCGCACCTTATGAAAATTGAATATCAGATCAAGCTCACAGACCTGCATGCAGTATGACAAAGACAGCAGCCATCAGGAAAATGGGTCTTAGAACTGGGGGAGTATAAGGAAAGGATTTTGGAGGTCTCACATTGCCAAAGTACCGATCCAATATCTCAACATAGTGATGGATGATCTGAAGGGTTTCCAGTTCATTGTCAGCAGGGTCAATGCACATGCAGAAGTAAAGGCTTGCATACCTGCAGATGTTTGCATTATTTCAGTGTTACATTCCAGTTGTTACTAATTTGCAAGTGTTTCGCCTTTTACTGGTTACCGAAAAACAGGAATAAAAAATTTCATACAGATCATTACATCAGGCATCACAACTCCTCACCTCTTGTACACAACTCTGTAACCTTGCCAGTCAACAAAATTGCACAGCTTGGGGCCTCTTGTCAGGACGAGCGTACTTATCTCTTTGATGATCTTGTGAATGAAGAAAAGCAAGTGATAAACCATGGGATGCAATTGCATGCAAAATACTGTAGGCCCCAGCCAAAACAATGGTAAAACTGCAGTGGAAAACGCCTGCCGGTGTATACCTTGGATCTCTGCTTCTGTGGGTATGGAGTGTACCATTTCGTCAGCCTCACCTTCCCCTGCCTGCTGATGAGGAGCACAAAATGTATCTGACAACAAAGCAACAAAAAAAATGTCATGTTGCTACATGATGAAATTCTCCTCTCTTCTCTCCAGCCTGAAACGTGCAGAAAAAAACAAGGAAATTAAGCTGACAAACACTCGAAATCTGGCTTTGGAGCTAATGAATGATGAGCTCAATTTCCCAGGTTCTTCAGCACTGATCATGTTCGGGAAAACCTTGTGATTTCATTCCCTAACATACGGGCCCAGTTCCTAGTCTCTCTCTAGTTCGCGACCCCGGAGAATGGTGGCACGACGTCGGCGATGAGCGGGAGGAGGAGCCGGCCGGGGACGTTTTTGCAAGATATTTGGATCGCCGATCCGGTGGTTTACGCATGATTATTGTTCGCGATCCAAGTCAGTCTGAAATTGCTCTGGAAATACGTTCTCGAAAACAACAGATTCAGCAGCAAGCGGTTGTAGATCTCGAGCCACATTTCGGGGAAGATTTAGAGAGCAATTAACGACACCTTCTGAGGTAGTATATAGATCTAAATGATTCGCCCACAGTGACATAGAAGACGAAGATGGGAGCGATCGAGGAATGCATTTCAAATGGGATTGTGGGATTGAGGGCGGTGGATTACCATGATTCAAGATGGCGTCGTCTGACCGGCCTTGCTATCTTTCTTTGAAGAAGATCGTGCACCGTCGCCGACGTCGATCGCCGCCGCCGCAGGAGACGATCGCCTACAAGACGACAGGAGTTGAGGCCTTCACGAACGGTTTAATTTCTTGGTTGATCTCTCCCACTTCGAGCGGCAACCCTCGAGCAGTGTATGCATGTGGGCCCTATGGGTGCGCGAATGGGGCCACATGGCCACGTCTCGGTCACTACGCGCATCAAATCAAATATTCAAATTGCTGCAGATGTTTTTTTTTAAAGGAAAAAGAAAAGAAACGAGGCCCGTTTTGTAATTGTGCTGTTCCTCATCGCGAAAATTTGCTATGCTCTTATGATGACACTAATGTAAATTTTATTTTTGAACAAATACAAGCATAATTTATAATCAAGCTCATTTTAGGAACTACTACTACACGAGAATTCAAAGTTGAAACTCTCCTTTCTTTTGGACGGCAACGGTGGTGGAGATCCCAAACTTAGGGTAGTTACAACAATAACGTTACAGAACATATGTCTGGAATCTTAAAAAAATCGGACGCTCTCCTCCGCATTCGATCCCTCTGCCTGGACCGAATCTAGCCACCCCACTCATTCCCTCCCTCTCTCTTACACGCGGGCCTGAACGTTAGCTCCTCTTCTCCTTCCTCTAGACAGGAAACGCAGCCGCAGCCTGCTCGTACGAGAGCACGCGTGCTGCTTCTTGCACCTGCTCCTCAACCCGGCCCACACCAACTCCCCGTCATCCACCTCGACGGGCCGCCACGCGCCGCTGCTCCCCGTACCCGCACCCCGTCGCTACGCCACCGTCCCCGTCGCTCCTCGCTGGCATCCTCTCTGACCTCGCCGAGATCGACAGCTCCTTCCGGCCGCCGTGTGTGGCCAGGCGGCCAGGAGAGGGGGTCGTCGCTGGCCGGGCCTAGGCCAGTGGAGGCGCAGCTGGCCGCTGCCAAGCCGCGCCATCATCCTCAGCCGCCGGCTTGCCGAAATCGACCGTCCCCCCGCCCTGTGTTGCGTCGTATGGAAGAAGAAGGGTGAAAACGGCATGTTGCAAGAGTATGTTTCAAGTCTTTTAGATGTTTCAAAGGTATGTTGCAAGATGCAAGTGTTGTATATCGATGTTGCAAAAATAGATTGGGATGTTGCACATGTTGGAATGGCTATACACGTATGTTTCAAGTGTATGTTCCAAATGTTTCGTCGTATGTTGCAAGTGTTTTATCTAGATGTAGCAAAAGTAGACCTAGATGTTGCATATACATGCATGTTGCAAGCATATGAGTATTTTCAGGTGTTTCATACGTATGTTTGCAAGTATTTCATCTTGATGTTGCATATGTTTGCAATAGTTTTCAAATATTTTTTAAGTGTTTCGCAAGTGTTTCAGACGCTTGTTTCAAGTGTTTCATCTGTCTTTTTTGTATGTTGTAACTGATGCATCTAGATGTTTCCAAAGTAGATCGGGTGTTGCACATGGGATGTGTGTGGAAAGCGGCTGGCGACGCGGACGACATTCAGGGCGGCGTGGGCAAACGTCTGTGGCGGCGCGAGGCCCACTGCTGGTGTGCTCGGGGCGAACACGATGCACTAGGCGTTGTGCGGGCAGCGTCCGGACGCTAGTGCCCGGATCGACTGTGCGCTAGCAAGTCCCTAGTTACAAAGGTGCCACAAGCATGGCGGTTTTGAGAAGAATGTGCAGGGGATAAGAAGACCTACATTACCAGCTAAATGGGCTATCTGGTATAGCTCCAAAAGGGCTCCCTCAAGGCCTATTTGGTGTGGCTCCAGGAGGGGCTCCCTTCTGCAGGAGCCGTATCGAATGATTGTGTAGAAAACGGCTGAAGCAATGAAGTTGGAGTCAAGGTTAACTTCTTCAAAACAGGCCCTAAGCTCAAATACGAGACAAGGTGAAGAAGAAATGCTCTCGATGCTCTTTGACGAAGGGCAGATCCCCAAGCCAAGGGCACCATGGCAGTGAAGGAAGTACAATTCAAAGAACAACGGTGCATTTATACCATCAAATGCATATATGAGCTTCCACGAAGTTTTTTCTTCTTCGAAAGAACTACAAAAGCTTTGTCACAAGTTCTATTAGAAGGATAGATAAAGAAAAAAAAAACACAAGTCCTAGCTCAGTTTTTTCCACAGAAACCAGGCCAAGAAAACCACGCGATCGACTAGGGTACCACCACTAAGGGCGTGATTGGTTTCTGTCTCCTCACGACCTTAGCTCATACTGGCTCATGTTGGACAGGATCAAAGAATACCAACACATATTGTTTGGTTGCTTGCTTTCGACTAACTTGTCTGCATGGCGACGCTGTTTGATTACCCGGACGGAGCTTGTAGCAAGTGAATTTTCCCCTCACATGCGCCCACACAAGCACCGGGCGAGCGGTGAGCCAGGTTCTGAGGAAACGAAGAAAATTTATGTGAGGGACGCCTCGTGCATGTCACGGGCCAAGCCTTACTGCTAATTCAGCTACCCAATCAAGCCTGCGTTGTATCTGGCGAGCCTGGTTAGGCTGGATGTAGCCAACCAATCAGCCCCATAACTCCGGTACCAAAACATACCCACTAAAACTAAACACAACTTCTCATACTCACTTAGGAGGCAACCAAAATCAACTTGGTCGCAAAACAGCAATCCAACCACTGACCTTACTAACTCCACAAAAGTTGTTTTAACAGATGGATCCTAAAACCATCTTTTTTTTAACGAAATCCTTAAACCATCTTACAATTGACACATGGATTGGGTCAGTTGACAGTACAATTAAGAGGAAACACTCATCAATCCTTTTCCATTGTGTTTTTCGAGCCATACAACACCTAACAGGCAGCTCATCGCTGGTTAATGAATAATGATTACAAACTGGGGGTGGGGAGGAGGGGGATTATCTCTGGTATTTCTATTTACGATTTACAGGTTACAATTTACAACATATAAGAAACTGCTTACAGTTGATTCTGGACTGCACAATTCTGATCTGATGTCATTAAGGTGTGGAAATCCTCCGGTATGTATCATGCTGTTGAGAAACCAAGTCTCCAGAATGACAATGGATAATGTAGCTGGAAGATGAATACTTTGCTCACCTCGAGCAGTAACTAACCCTTTCTCAACTATAACCTGGACGCACTATCGTAAATCCATGATTGAAGAATGCTCTAGTTCCTATCTTCCCCTTCAATTGTGAAGTGACAAAAGAATACGAAATAGCCTTGGTGCTGAACAGAGGAATTACTGAGTGACAAAAATGTGCTGTGGCAAACTCTTCTGTCAAAAGAGGTTCATCAGAGTGAATGCGCAGCAGCCATGTTTCAGTGAGAACTATTTGAGATTCCCATGGTATTATAGCTATGCGATGTAGCAGAGATCATATCTCTTGACTCATGTCAAATACATGTTGCTTTTGTTGGAACGATGGCATCTTGATTCGGCGAAATGAAGCACAGCGATCTTTCTTCAATGGAATCAGTTTACCAGAAAATAAACTACCTATGATCCAGCTTGCTGTCTGTAAGGAAAAATGAGGATTATATTCACCGAAGAGGCTAAATTGTGTATTAAAACATTAAGGTAAAATTAATGTTCCTCTGCTTTGTAGAGTGTAGAGCATTTGTTTCTTTTTTCTGGGCAGTGGTAGATCAAGACCTTTCAGATTATGACCGCTGAATTTTTCTTCATAAAAGGCCAAGAAGAACAATGCGGATGACTAACAGATTAAGATGTTTGTGATAAGTCACAGAAAAATTAAGTTTACACATTCAAGCGACAGTTGTTCTGTGTTCAATTCTAACAGATATACTGTGTTGATAAAAAAAAAACTAACCGCTGTCTTTATGTCATGCTCCAAACCACAATAGCTTAGATGACGAGATGCACTAGCTGTGCTTGCAACAAGAATGATTCCATGCGATGTACTTCCATCCTTCAAGCTTTGAACTAATCCATGAAGAGATATAAAAACTTGGCCACCTCCATGCTGTGGAAAAAAAATGATATTAGACAAGGGAACAAGCTGGCCACCTCCATGCTGTGGAAAAGAAATGGTACATAAGGGAACAGGCTTCAAGCTATACCACCCGAATGTTCACTGGAACAGGAATTAGATTCCACTAATCCAAGTAAAATTCCCCAAAAAAATAGAAGTGAAATATAACAAGAGTCTAATAAGATGGTGTATCACATCTCACACAATAACCTATGGGGATATTGTTTGACTGCCAGGCCTTCCGTAATCACTAATTGATCTACAGCAGCTCACACCAGTACACCACAAGTCCACAACAGGATGTAGCAAAGGGTGCCCAGGCAGCTCTAGTAGGGTTTCAATTCGCTGGCAACATAGCAGCAATTCGTTGCATGGTGGCTTTAAAGACTGTAATAGGTGCCCATTTGAAGGGGCATTTCCACATGTGCAGGTGTGGGTGTATGCAGTAATTCGTTTGCCTTTCTCTTCTTTAATAAATATAATAGCACACAGCTCCCATACGTGTTCAAGAAAGAAACATATAATTTTTATTATGTATGCAACATACCTTGACAATGTTGGAAAATTTTGAACAGAAGCTGATTTTGCCGTGGATCAAGAATCCTACTCCATCAAATATCAATGAATTACATTTTGGGCGAAGTGGGCGGTCAAATGACGAATTATGCTTCCAAGCATTCCTTTGTCGAATTAAATACCTAGCAAAAGGATATAACAAAATAATGATGAGCATCAAGATGAACATTCTTACAACATGGGCAGCATAGTAAAATTTTCCTGCCAACATATCAGATTCTCAAAATAATATCAATACAGCAGCCTAATGTCATGGCCGTGTTTAAGAAGTAAATGAGCAGCTTTCAGTATACTGACCTAAAAGCATCTAGTCTAGACTTAAATACGGTGTAAGCTTTCCATATTACAGTGAAAATTAAACTAGTGTTAAACTGTGCCACTGTTAGGAAACCATTCACAACATAACTGTTAGGTAGCCTATGATGGTTGACATAGTCACATGCAGTTAGAATGGTCAAGCTCATTAAACATGTAAATGTCTTTCACTTGGAATAGCTTAGCTTGAAATTAAAAGAAAAGAAAAGGAAGCATGTAAGCCTGAGTTGAGGTACTGCACAGAACTACTACAGAATGACAAATCTTATGAAAGGCCATAACCATAGTACAAATGGTAATTTTGCCTCGATTACTCCAAGAAAGGTATGGAACAATGAATGTTCATGAATAAATATGCAGAAGAATATCAAAAGATTATTTTCCAAAGGGTAGGCATTTTGCAATGTGTATACAGAAGCTTCCAAAGACATGCAGTGATGCTAGGAGCTTGCCTTACTTTCCAGGTGGCAGCATGACACCGGCTTGAAGAGAATCGAAGAGCCAATTGGGATTCAATATCCAGGCATCGATAGCACAGCCATATAAGAACTTAGCTGTTGACACCTGATGCAACAAAAAACTGGAATCATTAATACAGTACAGTACAAATATAAGTTGACAATTTTCAACTGGGACTCATGATTCCTACATGTAATTATGAAAGACACAAGATAACGAATAGATTGACCAAAACACTGAAAGGAAATAAAATAGCAAACCTTTTTAGGGGAAAGTACTATGGGAGGCTTCCATCTTGGAAACTCAGCCATGTTCTTTCTTTTATCAAGTGGGAAGGGTGGCACTTTAGAAAATACATAGCCACCAGATTTTCGTATCAGGGACTCAATTTCTTTTTCCTTCTGATTAGGAAAGCCAGTCAACAGAAACTCTATTCCTTGAAATGTGGCTTCTTTATTATCAGTGTACTCTCTGGCCTCAAGCGTCTCTCCTGTTCTGCTATCTGATCCTGCAAGAATTCACAAGTGAGGATTACCAGAAGAAACTAATGTTTTTGTGGATATATCGGAGTATATCCCTCAAAAGACTGAACACCAATATTAAAAAGAAAAACTTACGGCTGAATCTTGATTTAGTCAGGATCCTTCTATTGCTCTTGGTTCTTCTGCTACTACGCTTTGCTTCTGAAAACTGGACCCTTTTTCTTTTAAGGTGCTGTTTACCAACCAAATTCTCTGTTGATGGAAAGACATCCCGTGGGACCTGTAGCTCCCTGATTTGATCCTCACTGGCATCCTGAGGATGATATGTCTGCTTCTGAACTGCAGAGAAATCTTGCAAATTTTCAGCTCGGGCACTATTTTCTATGAATTCCTTAGCAGCTTGCACACGCTGTACATTCTTATTTAGAATAGCGGGTGTGAATCTCTCCAGCTGACAAACTGGAACATCAGCATTACAATTTGAAGTACTTCCCAATATGTTTGACTTAGTTGCTATTGTGCTAAAAGGCCTTAGTGAACTGTATTTTCTTCGCCTGAATGAAATATTAGAATCTGCTGGCTTAACTAAAGGCACACAAGATGGACCAGCATCCCCATCCAGGTATTGCATCATAGGAAATTCTTTGGTATGCATAAATTCTTTCTCCTCTCCTTTACTATGTCCACGTTCAGGTGTCAGACAAGTGGGACTTTCATTGCATTCACTCTTTTTGCACAAAGGAGCCTGGCTACTCGGACCTTCATTGCCTTCGCTCTGTTTGCACACAGGAGCCTGGCTACTGGGACCTTCATCGCAAGATATGCTACATGGAACAACGGAACATAAAGGATCCACCTGTGACAAGCTCGAACATACTACTTGGCAACACAACTCTTCAGTTTCTGCACGATGATTTTCTTCAAGGAAACCTTCAGGTTTGTAATAAACAGATGCCCTTGAAGAGGCGACAATTTCCATGGATGATGCTCTAGAAGTAGGACAGCACTTATCCATGCTAATTGACTCAGAAATGTAGCTATTTTCTTCCACGAACAAACCTTTTACATGCTTCTTTGTACCAACATTCGTCTGTGCAGCAACTCCTGCAACTTCCTGGAAAGAAATGTATGTAGTAATGAGAATATGAAGAATGCAGATGGGAAAGGTTCATGAGTTGATAAAGTTTATTATGATACTTTGCATTCATGCCACACGATACCAAAAAACAGAAGTGATTGGTCACAAAGTTACCTTATGAACATTTTGGTATGTTGCTAGAGCTACCAAGGTTCCATGCAAAGCAGCATTATTTTGAGTTGACGCCTGGAGGACAATTTTCTTATTTCTTGAGCATGAAATTGTTTTACATAGAGCTGCTTGCTTTATAGAATCAGAGCACGGAGTTGGTTCATTTGGTAGCACACCTGCTGACTGATTATTTGGGAACGAATCAGATACATGGTCATCACTATCAGCATTTTGGCTATTCCATTTTTTATTTTGCCTCTCAGAAGAAGAATCCCATAAGATGTGTGTGTCTGCATCACATGGGGGACAACTACGATGAGAATTTTGTTGCTTCAAATCGCCTGTGTTCTGATCTTGAGATGAACAAGAAATATGGACAAGAGACAGACCAACATCTTGGTATACGTCAAGTATTTCAGACTCATCCAATTCTGCAAGCCAACCAGTCTCATCAAGACCATCTTCTGAGGATCCACAAGCATGTTCTGGCTCCTCAAAGTAAAATTGTTTCCGGACTTCTTTCACATGTAGAGCAGCTTCTATAGCAGCTGCAGCCGATTTATCAGACTCAGAATCAAGTATCATCTCTGCAATAACCATGGCCTCAGATGCAGCAATAGATAGTTCAATCGCATCATTTACATCAGCATTACGGAGTTTTCGAACATCTTCCTTTCCACCATAGACATCATGTCTTTTATGTCTGTTTGTATCAAGTTGTTTACCGATCTCCTTGCAAGCCACTTCTGTCACTGTCAGCATATCAGCTTGAGGATTGTTAGCCTCGAACTGATTCTGGGAGACAGCATTGACCTCTTGTTCTTGACCATCTGCACAAAGGCCCTCGGATGGACCTTTGCATGTACCAGAGTTTGGCATCTGAGGATTACCATTGCCTTCAGCTAGGGAGGGATGTGCAGCACTTTCTGAAGACAGACATAAAGAGAAAGGTAGTACCTGTATAGGGGAAACAGCTAAGACGTTATAACAATGCAACACAGGATCTGCTTGTGCTGTAGAAAGAAAGAGTCAGCATAATTCAGCTACAACAACCCAAATTTGCTACTATGCAATAACTTCAGAACTCAGTATGCAATCCACCAAGGTGAACAACAGTCAGTCAGTGTGAGATCAAAAGTTATAAGTCAACATCATGAAAATAATAATCGGCATCAAACTAAAGAAATGTTAATGCACATTTTGAAATGAAGGGATTAATATCAATAGTAGAGATTTCTTTCAAAATGTCAGCAGTATAGATCAAAATGGAGGACACCAAAAAAGAATTCCTAGCCCTTCCTTCACAATATGATAACCGGCAAAAGAGATATAAGCAGACTGTCAAAGTGTGCACTTAGTAACAAACCACTGTATTATCTCAGAAGAAAAGGATGTTATTTATGCGGGATTTGGGATTGAAGGTTACGTGTAACATTCTGGCAGCAGTACCAAGGCTGGATTTTGATTGATAAGTGGCTCTGAAACAGGCAGGAAGTTATTCTTACATTGCTGCTGACTGGTGAACTTGCAACCGTGTCCTCATCTCCTGACAAGTGCAAGATGAACCCACTATAACCACCAGTGGCATTCTGACAATCCTGACGCTCCTGCCAAGGGCTTCCGACAAACGCACAATTCTGCAGCTCGAGGAAGAGACCAAGGCATCAGATCGCAAATGGCGGTGGTATTCAGACTGGATTTCAGTATGTTATGTCCAATCAAATGAAACACCTCTGGCATTGATTAAGATCTTCAGTAATCAAATAGCTCAGAATCAACAGATTCGGAGCCAATTAGTGCAGAAAATAAGAAGAGCACCTGACAAGAAGGCGATGAAACGGCGGTAGTGGTATTCCGGTGGTCGCCAACCGTCGGCGTGCCATACGGTTGAAGCCATTGCGGGAGCCAAGCAATATCCTGGGAAAAAAACTCAGTACGGGAAAGTTTTTAGAAACGGAAGCATCCTTCGGTTCCCATCTTGCTCGAGAGGAAAAAACTACAAGCACTCAACCGTTCGACCCAGCGAGAGAGAATGGAAGAAGGGACCAGGGAGGGAGGGAGGGAGGGAGGGGGAGAGGGGCGTTTACCTCGGAGAAGCGCGGGGAGTGGTACCCGCAGATCGACATGGCGGCCGAGCCCCCAGCAGTCGCCGCCGCCACGGGAGGAAGCAAGGGGCAGGACGGCCTTCCCGTTTCCTTCGTTTTTTTTAATAGTTTTTGTAAATCTATTCACATAATCTGTCTCCCCGCCACCTGATGTTTCGCGCCAGAAATCTAAGAGCGCGGGCGCGGGTGATTTTGACGGGAAGATGGGAGGACCGGCGGCGGCGGGCGAACGAAAGGCCCTGTAGGCTGTAGCACTTGCTGACAAGTGGGGCACCCCAACTGTCGCTAAGGCCTCGTTTTTTTTCAGAAAACTAGGTGATGGTCCAGTCTACTACCTCCGTCAAAAAAAAAAGTCATTATAGGATGTGTCAGTCTACTACCTCCGTCAAAAAAAAAAAAGTCATTATAGGATGTGTGTTAGTCAAATCTTTTTAAAAGTTTATAAAAAATATTAGCAACATTTATATCACTTAAGTAAGTTTATACTATGAAAATATATTTAATTATCTATCTAATGTTACATATTATGCACCATAAATATTAATATTTTATTATATATATTTGGTTACGGCAGCGCTATTCTACACCCTAGGTGTAGAAGCCAAAACTGACTAGAAAAAATACTGAGTACTACCGAACTGTGTTCAGTATCAGTCAGTACTACGCACAGGACCATGAAATACAGAATAATACTGAAACACGAGTACTGAATAATGAATTTTGTTCAGTATAACAGCTTGGTGTAGAATAGCGCGTGTATATTTGGTCAGATATTTAAATTCTATAAAAAAAATAAGAATGGCATTTATCTTGGGACTGAGGAGGTAGGTAACTTCTTTATTTCCGATAAGTCAAACTTCTTTATGTGAGAGGAATGTACAGTTATTTTGAAAATAACTGGACATCTTTCTTTTCAATATGTCAAACTTCTTTATATGTGAGAGAAATGTACCGTTAATTTATATCTAAAGGGGTATTAACGATGGATTGAAAGAAAAAATAGTTTATTTTTCAGTCTAATCCAGCAGAGTCCCAAACAAAAAAAAAAATAATTATTCCCTTATGTTTATCCGTCCGTATGTCCCGAGACCACACCCCACTCCTTCGTGCTTATCTGCCCGACCACCAAAGCAACGTGGTTGCTCAACCGTCCACCCCCTTCTTCAGCGCGCGCTCGTTGGCCTGCCGTGCCGTGCCCTCCCCCTATCACTGGCTGCACCACGCGCTCTCGCTCCCTGCTGAAAGGTCCTAATCGCTAGAGAGGGGTGAATAGCCTAATAAAATTTCCACAACAACACTTAACAAAATGATTAAACAATTATGAGGCGAAGCGAGTTTTGCGCTAGCCTACCAAAACGAAGCCACCTACCACAATTCTAGTTTAAATGGAGTATATCCACATAATAGCTATATCACTACACTAAGTTAGTGTCCTCACAAAAGCTAACTAAAGAGCCACACTAACCAAACTAATAAGCTCTCACAACTAGTTACACTAAAGAGATTGACAACTAGTTTGCGGTAATATAAATAATAGGCAAGAAGGTTATACCGCCGTGTAGATGTATGAACCAATCAATCACAAATGTGGATACCAATGAAGACCAATCACCTCAAAATCAATGATGAACACAATGATTTTTTATCGAGGTTCACTTGCTTGCCGGTAAGCTAGTCCTCGTTGTGACGGTTCACTCACTTGGAGATTTACGCGCTAATTAGCTTCACACGCCAAACCCTCAACAGGGTGCCGCACAACCAACACAAGATGAGGATCACACAAGCCACGAGCAATCCACTAGAGTACCTTTTGGCGCTCCGCCGGAGAAAGGTCAAGAATCCCTCACAATCACCACGATCGGAGCTGGAGACAATCACCACCCTCCGCTCGACGATCCTCGCTGCTCCAAGCCGTCTAGACAGTGGCAACCACCAAGAGTAACAAGCGAATCTCGTAGCGAAACACGAACACCAAGTGCCTCTAGATGCAAACACTTAAGCAATGTACTTGGATTCTCTCTCAATCTCACAAAGATGATGAATCAATGATGGAGATGAGTGAGAGGGGTTTGGCTAAGCTCATAAGGTTGCTATGTCAATGCAAATGGCTAAGAGAGTGAGCTTGAGCCAGCCATAGGGCTTAAATATAAGCCCCCACGAAATAGAGCCATTGTACCCCTTCACTGGGCACAGCGCGGGGTCACCGGTCACTCCGGTCCGATCGACCGGACACTGGCCCTCAGCGTCCGGTCACGTGATACACGCCACGTGTCCCCACTTCAAATACAGTTTGTCAGATTTCAATGGTCATCTTGTTGACCGGACACTCACGCTAAACCGATCGACGCCTTCGACCTCCAAAGATCCGGTCGTTTCAGATGAAGGTTCCGTAAACGATATTTCACGATCGACGCTTGACCGGACTCACCCAAATATCCGGTCCCTCAATGTCTCCTCTCAGGCGCCTTACGTCGGTCAGACGTCAAGATCGATCGAATCAATGCACTCGCCAAATACGGTCGTAGAGAGCGACCAGTCGTCCGGCGTTGACCGACGCCAAACATCTTCATTATTACACTGACCGGATGCACCGGTCCAACCGAGGCCAGCGTCTGGTCACACCCAGTGACCTTCGTCTTTTCTGTCTAGGGCGCCGATGGCACCGTCGGACTATCCGCACTCTACGGGCAGACACTCTGCCGGTGGAGTTTCTTACCCTTGCACCTAAACTTCACCACCCTTGATCAAATGTGCCAACCATCAAGTGTATCACCTTGTGCATATGTGTTATCATATTTTTACAAACATTTTCAATGGTGTTAGCACTCCACTAGATCCTAAATGCATATGCAATGAGTTAAAGCATCTAGTGGCACTTTGATAACCGCATTCCGATACGAGTTTCACCCCTCTTAATAGTACGGCTATCGATCCTAAATGTGATCACACTCACTAAGTGTCTTGATCACCAAAACAAAATAGCTCCTATAATTTATACATTTGCCTTGAGCCTTTTGTTTTTCTCTTTCTTCTTTCCAAGTCCGAGCACTTGATCATCACTATGGCATCACCATCATCATGTTATGATCTTCATTTGCTTCACCACTTGAATGTGCTACCTATATCATGACCACTAGATAAACTAGGTTAGCACTTAGGGTTTCATCAATTTACCAAAACCAAACTAGGGCTTTCACCTGCGCCACTCACCTGTGTGGCAGTCACCTGCGTCGCTCGCTCCCTCGTCGTTCGTCCATCGCCCATCGCTGTTTGGGCGCGCCGCTGACCCCGCCATGGTCGTTGGGGAACACGTGTGTGGCGCCTCAGGTCTTCCCCGGCCGAGTCAAGGGCACCCACGAGCGTGGCCAGTGTTGGTGGTGCTCGCGCACCGCAACGCGCCGCCGGCTCCCACCCCGACGGCCGAAATCAACTGGCCCAGCCTTCCCTCCCCAATGTTGCATATATATGTTTCAATGTATGTTGCAATTATTTTATCTTGATGTTGCAAAAGTAGATCGGGGGATGTTGCAAGTGTTTCAGAGGCATGTTGCAAGCGTTTTGTTCAAACTGTTTCATCTATTTCCAGACGTATGTTGCAAGCGTTTTGATCTGGATGTTACATATGTTTTCACACATATGTTACAACAGTATGCTCCTTAATGTTTCACCTGTTTCAGTCTTCCGTTGCAGCAAGTGTTTTCATGTTGTAAGTTACAAGTGTTCTATCAGGATGTTGCACATGTGTTTATTGCAAGTGTATGTTCTAAATATTTCACTTGTTTCAGATGTACGTTGCATATGTTGCAGTGGTTATACACATATGTTGCAAACGTATGATTTAATTGGTTCACCTTGTTTCAATATGTTGCAAAAGGTGTTGCTCCCCCACACGCTCTAACTCACGAAAAAGCACGCGATACACTAGGTGCCCCTGCACCACCAGGCGTGGTCTCCCACGGTGGAGCATGCAATCGGCAACACATGTGCATGTGCGTTGTGCTCCCTCCCTCGCATTAGGGCACGCGCGTTGTGATCCCTCCCTCTCTCTCTCTCGCATGCAGCTGGCGTCTCTCTCGCACTGGGGCATGCGCGCTCTGCTCTCTCTCACATTGGGGTACGCGTGTTGTGTTCCCTCTCTCACTCTCGCATGCAACTAGGCAAGTAGGAGGATGCATGGGCGCAGTAGCAGGAGGAGGACGTGTGGGGCGCAACATCGGCAGGAGGAGGCACATGTTTCCAAAAAAATAAAATAAGAGGAGGCGCAGGGCGCATTAGGCGTAGCAGCATGCGCGGGCATCTGGGCGCGTAGGTCCATCCAGATGTCCGGGCGCAAATGCTTCATCATGGGCGTCCGCCCCCATCCGGACGCCATGCAACTCACTCCGCTGACCGTCGTGATCATCTCACTCCCCCATCCCACCCTGCGGGGTTCACTCCTCCAACAAATTCCTACTTGTCCCACTCCGCTGGCCGCCGCGACCATCCCCGTGCGCGCCTTATGCGCCCGGCCGCCTCACGCTGCTAGTGCGCGCCCCATCCTGCGCCCGATCGCTCACTCTGCCATACACCGTGCGCGCACCCATCCCACACCGCACAACGCCGCCCCACGCCCACTCTGCCTCCCCGCGGCCACCCACTCCGTCTCCAGCCGCCATCCACTCGGCCTCCACGCACCCCACTCCAGCTCCACGCAGCCATCCATCGCGACCATCTACCGCCGCATGCCCAATCCGCACTCACCCGTCGCAGCCACAGCGTGCACCACCACCACCACCACCCCCCGCCAGGAGAAGGTCGTCGCCGACCGGGTTATCGTCTCCCGCGGTCGGCCGAATACACCACGGCAGGGAGGACCCCATATGTTGCAAATGCATGTTTCAAGTGTTTCAGATGTTTTAAAAGTATGTTGCAATTGTTTCATCTTGATGTTGCAAAAGTAGATTGGGGGATGTTGCACATGTTGCAAGTGTTTCAGAGGCCTGTTGCAAGCATTTGTTCAAAATATTCCACTTGTTTCTAAA